AAAACTATCATCGTTTTTAAAACGAACCAGTGTTACCAACTTGCAAAAAAAAAAAAAAATTGATAATCGTGTTGCCTTTAACACCCGAGGAATACTTATATAAAATTTAAACGGATGAATTTTTTTTTTTTTAATTAAAAATGGAGTCGCGTTTTTTTTTTATTGGGGGAGAGGGGGGCGGAGGTAGGGAGGGAGGGAGGAAGGGGAGGGGGAAACGTAATACGACCGTTTTTTTATAATTCCAAAAAAAAAAAAAAATGATTTCGTTTTACGAGGGACCACCTCACAACAAAAAATTAATTACTTATATATATATTTTTGCGGGGATGCGGAGGGAATAATAATAATAATAATAATAATAATAATAATAATAATAATAATAATAATAATAATAATAATAATAAAAGCACCGTTGTTGTTGTTGTTGTTGACCCCGTCGAGAGATTTTTTTTTATTACCTTTTTTAAAACCGACACTAATGAATCTTGGTGGGTGCTCGATGAAAAAATAAATAAATAAATAAATAAAAATTCAACAGGTAAAATAGCATACATAGGATTAGGGTTAGTTAGGGTTTTTTAAAAACCGTCTAGACCCCTCTCGACCACTCCTACTTTTTTTTTTTCCCACAAAATTTATTTACCGAAAAGTCATAAAAAAAAAAAAAAAAACAAATATAAAATTTATACGTATAGTATTAAACGTACGGCCATATTTATTTAAACGTTTTGCAAAAATTATTATTATTATTATCATCATCACTCATTATCGCGTCGTAAAAAAAAAAATTATTTTAATTAATAATAATGATAATTTCTCCCCTCCCCTCCCCTCCTCCCTTCCCCCCGGTTAATTATAAAAAAATCGAATTTTTTTTTTTATTAATGTGATATGCCACGTATATGAAAATCTAATGACACGATAAAATAAAATAATTTTTTTTTTTTTTTTTTACGACAACAACAACAACAACACGCCTGTCGTACGAATACAAAAATACGTCAAAGGAAAAATTAATAATAATAATAATAATAATAATGGAAAATTTATCATTAAAAAAAAATTTAATTGAAAAAAAAACGATGATAATAATAATAAGTAAGGTTAATACTTATAAATAATAATAATGATAAAAATTATTATTATTAATGCGTTTACATTTAAAAAAAAAAAAATTTCCTTTGGCTATGTAAAATCGATTTGAGAGAGAGAGAGAGAGAGAGAGAGAGAGAATTTTTTCGGTTTTTTTGTTAAACTCAATTATCGAGTTTTTCCTCCTTTTTTTAAGCTCAATTTTGGTATATCTTCCATCTTTCTCTTTGAAATATTTGTTTTTAAAAAAAAAATATTTTCGTTCCTTTTAACGTCAAAGGAAAAAAAAAATATATTTAAAACAAGAATATAAATAATAAGAAATATTTTTTTTTTTCCCCCTCAATCGATATTTCTTCATAAAATAATTTTTTATTTTAAAAAAAAAATCGATAATTTGTTCGAATCTAATTAATGCCCCCCCCCCTTTTTTTTTTTTTAATGTCGTAAATTTATTTATAATAATTAAAGTAATAAATATTTGAGAGAGAGAGAGAGAGATTTTTTATTTAAAAAAAAAAAAAAAAAGTTATGCAAAAAATTAACGGTATTAATTTAACGATAAAAATATATACGGGGAAAAAAAAAAGAAAACATTCAGAAATTTTGTTTATGTGACGTCATAAAAACTGTCGTGTAATCAGACGATTAATATTTTTTCGTGAGCCAAAATACGTTTACGTACTCTAAGATTATTCTTAATACGTTATTTTCATTGTGTTTTTTCAATAATCGTTTTAACCTGTGTGTTTAATTTCGATTTGTCTGCGTTTGTGTTTTTGTTGTTTGTGTATGCGTTTGTACGTTTGTATTTTATTTATTGATATTGATAAAAAGGCGTGAAATGAAATCGTTAACGTCAAAAATATTATTATTAACGGTAATTATTATTATTTTATTATAACATATTTTAATTCGTTTGTTCGAAGATTAACAAAAAAAAATTCAATATCATTAAATCTTTTTTTTTTTTTTTTTATAAACAAATCGAGTTAATGGTCGGTAATTAAAAGGCTCGACTACGTAATAATAATAATAATAATAATAATAATAATAAAACAGTCGAAATAAATTTACGAGTATATTGTGGTAACAAGTTAAATTTAAAAATTATATTGAATTTCATTGGAGAAGAAGAACGTGACAAGTTTTCATTAACGATTATAAAAAAAAAAAAATGACGTCACACACACACACACACTACTAATAACACATTTTTTTTTTTTATTGTTGAACTAAGTTATTTTTTTTTTTTGATCATTAACTTTGGACAATAGTTTTTCTTTCATTTAAAAAAAAAAAAAAAATATTCAAAGGTCAGTAGTCCATTTTTTCCATTTTTTTTTTCAACGTTTCAATTTGATGATTCGTGTTTCAAGCTCTCTCTCTCAAAAAAAAAAAAAAAAAAAGCCGATGATTTCAAATCGAAACTCAAATTTCAAACGTATTATGATATCATTATTATTATTATTATTATTAATATTGGATACTTTATATAAAATTACATTTGTCAATAATCATTTTTGCATAGAATGATTTATTATTATTATTATTATTATTATTTAAATAAAAAAAAAATCACATAACAATGAATAATAAGAACATGATTGAATGATTGTTTTTATAAAATATTAATTACATACATTTATGTTGAGTGATTAGTTTGTTAGTTTAAGGTGTTTAATTGAAAACTATTAAAAACATTAACTAACAGGTGCACAACATCATGTGTGAATGATATCTCAACATGTGTTTGATGTGTGTGTGTGCATGTGTGTATGAGTGTTGGATGTGTGTGTGAGTGTTTGAAGTGTGTGTGTGAGTATTTGATGTGCGTGTGTTGAATGTATGTGTGTGTTTGATGTGTGTGTTGATGTGTGTAATTCTTTGATGTGTGTGTTGATGTGTGTTTAATGTGTGTTAATTGTTGAATGTATGTATGTGTTGATGTGTGTTTGATGTGTGTGTGTGTGTGTGTGTGTATGTGTTTGATGTGTGTGTGTGTGAGTGCATGTGTATGTGTGTGTGTTTAATGTGTGTTGAGTGTTGGATGTATGTATGTGTTGATGTGTGTTTGATATGTGTTTGATGTGTATGTGTGTTGATGTATGTTTAATGTGTGTGTGAGTATTTGATGTGTATGTGTGTGTTTGATATGTGCATGTGGGTTTGATGTGTGTGTGTGTATGTGTTTGATTTGAGAGTGTATGTGTATGTGTGTGTGTTGGATGTATGTTGGTGTTTGATGTTTGTTTGATGTGTGAGTACATGTGCATGTGTGTGTTTAATGTTTGTTTGATGTGTGTGTGTGTGTGTGTGCATGTGTGTTACCATTCATTTAACATTTTTTGTTATTAACCATCAGGAAAAACACACCAGGGAG